CTCGGTTCTCGGTTCTCGGATTCTCGGTTATCACGGAATAGTTTATCTTAGGAATTATAATTGAATTTAGATTTGGGAAAATTTATTTTGACCTTTGGGACTGTTCGCAGGACTTTTTTTAAATGGATATAATTTTTAGGATTATATTATTATTTGCATATATTTTTTTAAAGGTTAGACATTATTTCAATAAAACAATTGCGATGTGCACAAAAAAATTTAGTTCAAGGAAATGTACTGTCTAATAACACCTTAGGTAGCGTAGCGCATATTTCTTGCAAACTTTTTAGCTTTCGTTTTGCAAGCAAGTTGCTAAATATTGCCAGTTTCCCAGCAGGAGCGCGGTTTAGTAGGGACTTTATTCTCCATGACTATTCAAAATAAAATAGAAAATTGGGGTGTTACTTTCTTTCTGTCAGGGTCAAGGAAATCTGAGAGAAATTTTGACAAAAGAAAACGAACTTTGCTGTGGAGAAAAAGTTTCAGTGCAAATTCAAACAAATAACCTTTGAATAGGACAAAAATCTTTTCAGGTTTTGTGTTCAGTTTTCCTTATGTTTCTCTAACAAAGTCCTGACCATCACATGCTAAAGCATAAGCTATACGTACTTCCTTGATCAGGGTTTCCGACTTAGTTGTATGCATGTCAACAGAATCAAAATAAGCCTTTTTATATATGGAAACTCCTTTCAATGCAACTCGTGATGCCATGAACAATCCATAAATTTTTCCATGAATAAAAATGGCCGTAAAGCGACATTTTTAAATTACGTTTCATGTTGTTCTTTTAATCAGAAAGCGAAATATGCTACCAAACAACTTCACTCATCACTATCGTGCTCAAAAGCGACACTTTTTCAGTCCTATGCCGTGGAATGTCAACAAATCAGAGCTAAATGACCCGCAAAAAAAATTTTTTTTGAATACCAAAACATTTGATGATTTCAACTTTATTTTATTGGGCTTGCAAAATATAGTTTCTGATTCTACACTATGAGTTTGATTATTATATCTTTAGAAATTTATCTGACATAGACGAGAAAGTGGACAATTTAATTTTGGTGAAAAATATGAAAAAATCGAAGATTACCTACATTTTTTTTCAATAGCCTGATCTGCTTTGGACAATCCATAGATAACCAAGTGACATGAGTGAAGCAAATTCAGAATCTTGATACGGAAACGACTAAGTTTCGAGTGAGCGGGAATGAATTTCAATTGGTTCTCCAGATGGAATTTTTCAGTAGGTTTTCTATGTCAGATTCGCTCAGCAGAGAAAATCTCCAATTACTTTTCACTTTGATCAGTGTTCGGATGAGATGAGTGGCATCACATAAAAAAAACTCAAGGAAAAAAAACATACTGAGAACCTTCTGAAAATTTTCTCAAAGTTGTCAAGAAACTAGAAATAAGCACTTTTGGCCTTCATCATAAAAATTAATGTTTACTTTTCACGAAGCAACTAGATAATTCATAAAGAGTAATCGCTTTGAAATATTCTACTATAGCCATTCTTTTAGTCATAATCTCCTCTACCGCTGCCTTCACTTGCGCGATATTCTCACTTGTGGGGCACCTTAGCGCATGGTTGATTTTGTGTAAACGCACGGACCTAAAGTTCAAAAGACAAGTAACTGCTTAATCTTTTTTTTACACAATGTATAGTTGCGGCGCTTCTTCTGGTTGCAGTGACTGACTGTCCCTTATGATTGAGGTAGACAGCACTTAGATAGTGATGCACCAGGAAAAAGCATGTAGTTATTATTTTCGATAATCACGATTAGCAGTGCAGTTTACGAAAACTGGTTCTCACTGAAGAAAATCACAATATCGAAATAAATAATCTGCCTTCTTTGATGGGCGAAACAATTGACTTTTTCAACAAACGTTCAAACTGACTTGTGGAAAACGCCCAATTTAAAAGTATCCATGCAGATAATAAGAGGTAATGGAACATGCTCTAACAGCGATGTTTTAGAAGTATGAGCATCTCAATATCCTTTTTACATTGCAATCATATCTTTGTTGAAGGTTGATTCAACGCACCCACAGCAAAATTCATGTCCGCAAAAGCGCTTTTTGAGCAAATAAGCGACTTCCTGTCGGATCGAAAATGTTTGAAGTCGTGCTCTCAACGAATTTAAGCAGCATTTAGGTTTTTTCGATCTCATTTACTTAACATCTGTTCTGTCACAACAGATGAAAGTTTTTTTATTGATTAATTTACAAAGTTCACTATAGATCTGTATCAAACCTATCGGTGGCAAAAGTAGGAAAATTAGCAAAATTTTGGCTGAAAAAAATGATAGTGATTTTTGAAATTATGCTTGAGATTTTATTTTAGATTATCTTTGCTTAGGTGAAAAGTGTTTTCCCAAAATCTAAAAAAAATAATAGCACCAATGGAACTTAGAGTTTTGATTCAGAAGGATATATTTCCTTTAGATGCATACGAGTTGTCGGAAGAAAAAGATGTCTTGCATTACAGTGATAAAAATGTCTGTTTCCAAAAAAAAGTTTTTTTTCAGCCAAAACCTTGATTTTGCTGACTACACCTTATCGCGATGTAGAATATCAATCTGATTGAGCTTGCCGATGAATAAGATGCTGATCACGGCTGTCGCTGTTGATGCACAACTTCTCGGCATCGGAAGACAGCTAGATGAGCCATAAATCGATTGTGTGTAAAGTTCATCCGAATATTCAACAGGCGCATACGGATATTTGTCAGGCCCTAAGGTCAGCAGTTGTTAGCTTCTACAATTGTCACCAGATTTACTGCTATTTTGAACGCGCGCAGACAATTGCTGGAACAGATTGGGATAAAGGATTTGGAGCTCTAGGCTATGTGTAATAGCGGGTATGTGGCACGTCAGCAGATGCTATCTTTCCGTACTGCAGATTTTGTATTGTAGCTACGATTGCGAGCAGGTCCATAGAGAGAAAATGCGCTTGCAATCCAAAGTGCAATAAATTTGCAGTAGCCTAAAAATTACCGAACGTTTTGTGGAAAAATCCTAAAAGGAAAATAAACTGGCGCAAAAAAATTCAATTGTGTCCAAATTGACTAAAAAACGCAAAAAAGGATTTTTTTTTGCCATGTTGATTTCAGATATGCACAGGAATTTTGAAGCTACAAAAATTTGGCGCGATTATGACTACCATAACTACTTAAAAAAATTTTTTTAAATGTATTTTACATTTACATGTGATTGCAAATTGCTCAATTGGTTACGTTTTACGCATAGCTGATTAGCAAACGATTGTGGCCACGCACGACTGCTGAATTACTTGAGCTTATCGGTAAAACGGAGCTAAATAATGCATTACACTCGAAAAAAAAATTGGGGGCAAATGGAACTGCTCGCTGGACTACTAGATGTATCTCTGAAAACATTGCAATGAAGGACCATCATTAAATTTGCTAACTTTTTTTCGGTACCTTTTTCTCTGAAATATTAGCTTTTTTTCCAAGGGAAGGAAAAAAAATTTCTTGCTATTAGTTGTCATTTTATTATAAAATATAAAAAGAAACACTCACTTATTCGTTCGTTGTGACTTGGGTGGAAGTTGTTGTCGATATAGATGTCGAGGGGTGGATAAATTCTTTTTAAAACAAAAATTTTGACTATTGCTCAAAACAAGGAGAAAAGTCTTCCCGGGACTTCCATGTCAGGTATAAGGGTTCGCGATTCCCTTACCTGATGTGTAGCGGTTTTACATAAGCTTACTATGATGTTTATTATAAATAGTTATATACAAAAGGGGGAAAAGGGGAAGGGGAAGACGAACGGCTACTGCCGGCGGTCGGAGGTCACTGCCAGAGGTGGCTGTCTTCGGCCAACCTCCTTCTCGAGCAGCTGTTGTAGCTAGCTGCTCCCGACAAACTTGTTGAGAAGAACTGGAGCAAATTCTCCTTGAGAGGGTAGAAAAGTGGGAGGTTTTTTTATCTGAATGTCTCTGTGAGGAGGGGAAATTTGTAGAAAGAACGTGGTAAGCGAGAGAAAAATAATATTCTCCATGCATGATTGTAGCAGGAAATTCGAGAAATGCTGAATGATTAGTGGAGTCTTCGAGCAGTTCTCCTTTTGTAGAATGCTTTTCGCAAAAATGTTCTCAGGAAAGGCATAGGAAACTTATTTAGAATTATTTATAATCACAACAGCCCTTTGCATAAAATCTCGTAACCATAGTGAAGGGCGGATATAATTTTTGGTACATCTCATTGTAAGACCAATTTTCTATTATACAGCATTAAAATCTAAACATCCTCATTTTGGATGGACGGTGACTTTGAACTCAAGATCAGAACTTTGATTTACCTTCTAGTAAGGTAGGATCATGACAGTATGCAGACATAAATTACAGGCTGTGCCAAACCTATTAGCGCTTACATTTCAGCCGTGCCACAGGGGATGCGGTAAAATCTTAGGCTCAGATTATGTTGTAGAATGATTTTCATATGCCACAAAAGTCATTTTACAATTGATAAAGAAGGCTATTGTGAGATTGGAAGAATGTGCTTTGTGTGCTGTGCATGTGTAGATGTGCAGATGTGTAGATGCAGATGTGCTTTTGCAAAGTGTAGAAAAATTGAATTTCTGTACTTTCGCCCTTCAAGAAATTCTTCTAAATGCTTTCCGGAGTTTTGGTGGGTAACCACACCCCGGAAAAAATTTTGTTGAAGCTAATTTGTATTCGTAATTGATGTAGAAAATACTTCGTTTACAAGTATAAGCAAGTGACTTGCATACTTTTTTTGATAATCCATGTATGTAGGCCACTTTTGTAAACCTGTAAGCTTGTTTGAAAATGATTTAATGACGAATAAATTGAAATCGCGAAAGTTTCGCAAAAATTTACTTCCTTGCTGAAGATGGGATGCAAGATTTTGTTCGCTAGTAGTCTTTGCCATTTTCAGAAGATTTGATTTAAGTACTCCGGAGTTATCGATTAGGAACAAAATCCAAATTTTACTCTTCGAAAGCAATAAATTTGAACAACAAAAATGAGAAAAGGCTCGAGACAGAGTTATTAACTTTGGTGCTCCTTCAAAGTAAATTGCAACTTTTTAACATTGTGAACTGTTACGTGAAGGATGCTAACATTGCTCTGCTCTTACATGTTTTCTATATATGACCACCCATTTGCACCATCGCTGGTCTCTGTGCACGGAGACTAGCTGCTTGGGCCTAAAAAATTGAACTTTCAAGGATATCGAAGTAACTTCTATGCAAAACGGTTTGCCTTGTGCTTCTCCTGTGAAGGTCTTCTCAATTGACTTGATCCTCGTTTTCTAACCCTTTCCGGTGTGGCTCGTCTTATCTCGCTTGACATGCGCTTCATAACCTTTTCCGGTGTGAGTCGTCTCATCTCACTTGATCCACCTTTCCAAAGCCTCACTGGAAGTGCCCGACTTTCTCGTTCTGGGCGGCCTCTCTTGATGGGTGCGACAGTTATAGGGCGAGGTCGCTACAAGCAAAGCCATCATTTGATCCAGCCTTTCAAACAATAAATTTACCTTCCCCATCTTGGCGTCTTGGGGATTCATAGATTTGGTCGCTGTTGATTTCGCATTAGTATTGAACGTCTAAATATCACTCTCGCTCAAATTATGAGATCTGTTTTGAACGATTTTCCATTACGATAGCTACAAGCGGGTGAGACAAATGTGACTTTTTAAGGTTTCTTCTTCCTTATATCTTTTGTTTTATCAGTGTATTAGCTAGCAAAGCACATTTCTACAGTTTATTGGGCTAGGAAAGAATTAACTGAAGAGTTGCTAGTAAGGGTAGTCGGTTGCCGCGTGAATTGTGCAGACTTACACAGTAAGTCACAAATGACTCGAGCATATGTACGTTTTGATTGAACTGGCTTGGCGACTGGAAGGCGGGCTTCGGACCTAATTGAAGGCAGTGTCCAGGCAGATTTGGGCATACTGGTTTTTTACCTGGAAGCTGTTTAGTAGCTAAAGCGTGCCCAAACCGCAGCGCAAATAACTCATTCACGGCTGAGAAATCCATAAAACACTTCGCGGCTGCGCCGTGACCGTAACACTCAGGATGGGTCGCGCGAAAGTAGTGTTAAAGTGAGCAAAGTCGTTTTTAGGGCGCGGGGTTTCCGGGGACGGATTTCTCAGCAGTGAATGCACAATTTGCGCTACCCTTGGGGCAATGCCTTAGCTAGGGCCCCCTCATCAAGGCTAGGTAATGATCAGGAAGCACGCGCGGGAGAGACGCAGACTGCGTAGCGGGAGCGAGCAGCCTTACAAGGAAAGGAAGGTTGGTCGAAGTGGCCTTCTGAAATGGGATGTATACTGCCTTGTAGAGCTTGGAACGCTGATTCCAAATCTACCTTTGCTATCTGCTGCGGGCTTTTGGGCGACGAGTTATGAAGGTTTTTGTAAGAAAAAATCTGAATGCAAGAGTAGGCTAAAATCAGTCGTAACATTTTTTAGAGGGCTTAATTGGTAGTCGGGTCACTTAGTGCAACAAATATTCTTGATTCAAATATACCAACTCGCTGCTGCCTCATTTGAACATTGGGAAAAGATTATGATTGATTTTACCCTATTTTGGCATTCAGATTTTTACTCACAAAAACCTTCATAACTCGGCGCCCAGAAGCCCGCAGCAGATAGCAAAGGTAGATTTGGTATCAGCGTTCCAAGCTCTACAAGGCAGTATACACCCCATTTCAAAAGGCTACTTCGACCAACCTTCCTTCCCTTGTTAGTTAGGTCGCAAAGCCCCGCCTTCCAGCCGCCAAGCTAGTTGAATCAAAGATTATATACCTGTACTCGAATCATTCGTCGGATGTTGACTCAGTTTTAGTGAGCCGGAGAAGCATATGAGTGAGTCACCACGCGCCGCGGATGATCAGTACTCTGATAGTCACATTCATTCAGCCTGTGTCACCGCAAAACGGATTGCTTGTTCAGAATCTCTTTTAGCGAAGCCGTAAGAGATTCTCTATAGTGCTGAGTCTTCAAATCCGACTCTATGCTATGCCTTTGCCTTTCTTTACTGCATTTGACGTTCACTGTACCTGCTTGGGCATGGTCGTCCTGCTTACGGATTTTGTTCTTTTGCGACTGCTATCGGTTCTCCACTTATCTCCTAGTCGTAATTCGGCAGATTTTCTTTTTGATGGAGGAAGAGATAAAGTTCTTTTGAGGGATCCCGCAAGATTTCTATCGGAAACCCGGCAATGAGGACAAAGCCATGACTCGCAGGTGGTGCCATAGCAACAAATCATTTCAGTTGAATCCGTTGGGACGGGAGCAAGTCCTGGTTCCCTTTTCAGTAATAGAGTTGGTGGTCGTTGTCTTTCAGCCTGAAAGAAATATCTAGAAGAGAAAGTGGTAGCAGAAATTTGGAGCTGACGCTTTCGAGTCTAGTCATAGCAGTCTGATTTCTCATGTTAGATAGTAGTTGGTTAGTTTCAGCTTTGAGAATTCTTCCAAGAAAAGGGCTCTCGGTGACATAATTGGAGAGTTATCTTTGGGATCGATTGATTCATAATCCAGCAACTCAAGTGTTGTTTTCAGATGGATCACTTTCGAATGTGGTCATTTCAGTGGGGATCATTACCATATAGAACTCACAATCATTCTTTTTACAACTTCATCAGTGAGCAGTGATAGGCGAGAATACTCTTCTTCCATCATCGCCTGAAATAAAATACAGTTGATCTATACCCTATATCAGTTCAATGTAGTCTTCAACAATCAGCTTCAATTAAGGTTAATCTATGGCTGGATCCTGTGTGGAAAACAACGTAATGTGAAAACGGTTGAAACTATAAGCTGACAAATAGATCGCGATCTCCCCTATTGACAACGTAATGTCTTCTACCCCCACTATAGATCGACGTCTTCGCGCTGGCGCGAACTTTCCGCTACAAATTCTCTTCTACCCTCCAGAAGCGCTTTGAGAAATAATTCTATTGGATAGTAAAGAGAAATTATTGCAATGGTTTTTATAAAAGAGCATATCATTAGCCGGGTCCTAGAACTACGCAATACTTCCCATGAAACTTCATCTGAAGCTAATCAGTGCTGTTCACTGCTGTGTGCGGTCATAGGGATAGGTCTTCTTAGCCTCCGGCCAGACTTCGCTCAAAAGCGCCCAAAAGCGCCCAAATTTTTCCAACCTCTCTTCACTCTTTATCTCTCCTCACACGAGAAAGTGTAGAGAGGTTAGAGAAATTTGAACACTTTTAGGCGCTTTTGAGCGAATTTTGGCCGGAGCCTTAGATTCATTTACATGCTGGATGTAGGTCCTACTTAGATTGCTTACGAGTTCGTGCACAACATTTTGTAACCTTTCAAGTAAAGCTTTCGGAAGGCAGCTCGTGACATCATGTGCGCTCTGTGAAACCACGGGAAGTGCACTTTTTGATAGCTGTTTCAAGATGCGTTGTTTGATGTAATGCGGAAACCTTCTTGGCAGCATGAGTGGGAGAAAACTTCTCTTGAAAGACCATGTCATCACATCCTTAGCGCTTGGCAAGGCAAGTAATGCTCGTTGATTGCGGCATTTGCGGAGGGCATAGAATTTTTTTGACCCACCTCCCCCCCCCCTCTTTCCCTGATTGTCTTAACAAAACGGTTTTACGGTATGTGCGGCATATTGTAACTTGATCTATTTCTTTAAGCGTAAGGCCTAGAGCATAGTGTCCACGATACCATCGCGCTGCGATTTCTGAATTACGACAACTGTTACGCACTCATTGCATGTCTGGATGTCTGCTACGTCGCTTGTGATACTCGTCCGGCGCGACGGATCGCGGACCCTTTTTAGCTAGGGCATAGTTCTGCAGCGATAATCGCCGCGATTTCGACAAAACTCAGCGATGTCGCGTCGCGCTGCTGCACGGGCGACTAAGCGATATCGCTGAGGTGCGGGGGACATCTTGAGGATTTTTTAGAGGCAGGCGCTGATGTTTCAGTTGTTTTTGTTTGAAAAAGAAATGGAACTTTGAACTAGATGTACCAAGATACTTCTAACTTCGACGCCTTTTCCTAACCTTAAATTGTCGGATGACGTTTTTCGAAAGTGTAAGCATTTTTGACGAGATGGTTTTCTGGATTGTTTTCTGGGTGATTTTTGTGTTGGAGCTTTGCTTCTCGCAGAGTTAATACATTATCACTCTGCCTGTTTGCATATTCTTACGTTTCGCTATCCGTATAACAACCCAAACATTTATGCACGTGTTTTCGCTATCTTCGCAGTGATGCCGTGCTCGACTTTTTGAAAAGGTGTTCAATGTGGGTCTTTGCTAAAGCACCACAAAATCCACGTACTAGCCTGTTTTACCTAAAAATTTGGTGAAGAGTGTCTTAATAGTAGCTGTTGGCTCGCCGAGGCAGACATTCCCAGGTTAGATTCACTGTGCTAAGAACTGGTAAGCTCGTGAAAATTGGATTTGTTGAAAGGTGGCAAAATGTGGGAATTCTTTGTGCTCGATTTCATCACGATTGGCATAAGGGATCTATGTTGAGAGTGAAGTGAGTGAAATAACGCATATCGCACGAGAATACTCTGCTCAGTTTGCGTGCACCTGCCCTGTGTTTGCAAAGATACGAGATCGCTCACACTATGCTCATGCATGCGCGACGGACGATTTCGTCGTCGCGATCACGTCGCCCAAACCACCGATTTCCCCGGCTATGAAATCGCGGCGACGAAATCGTTGACACTATGCCCGTTGCCTAAGAGTTTCAAAAACTGAGTGAAGTGAAATAGTGGTATGAGGCGCCGCCGTGACTAGGCGGACCAAGTTTCTATCGCGATTCTGAGCCACCAAGCCCTCACCCTTCGGGGTTGGTTTGACACTTGGAGATGGGAGGTTTGAAACACTGACTGGTTACTCTCCGCGCAAGCCACCGTAAAACTTGACACTCATTTCAGCAGTTTGTTCGATTATCAAGTAGTAGTCAAAAAGAAGATGGAATAGACGCCAGTGTTTAACCTCTTCCTGAATTTGTGCGCTGTCAAAGAGAAATAGGTAACATTGAAATGTATCAAGCTGCAGAATAAATGGTGCATGGCAAGCAATTTTGACTGCTCAAATGATTTGTTTTCCTACTCTTTTAGCCTTGAAAGTTAGAAATAAGAAATGATGTCAGACCCCCAAATATAAGAAGTTTATCAAGGGTTTATCCTGTTTATCGTCCGATTTTCAAACTTTCGCAGTTTCAAGGTTCCACGCTTGACAAAATTTTCATGTGGTAGCTATGGAGTTGACTAATTAGCGATAGTTTCTACAGCTAGGTTGATAGTGGCCCCTTCCTTTCGAGATCAAACATACATGAAGCTCGACGAGGTTGCTGTTCGGATTCGGCTTGAACGCATAGAAGAAGAAGAAGCACAAGTAGATGAAAGTAATGAGTGCCAAAATTTGGATTGGAATGTAGTGATAATACATCCATTCTAAAATTTGAGACTGTCTTGTTCAAAAACTAGATATAACAGTATATACCTTCACTCTCATAAATTTCACGATGATCCACGCTTGGAGGTGCTGTAACAGCGTACCTCGTAACAGCGTACTGAAAGTCATTGTTCACTTATGCTTACCTGTGGTGGTGATGGGAGGGATTTCCACATGGTCGATTATCATGCCTGGGACGAGATTTTTCATGCTTTCATACAGACGGAATGATCGTAACTTTGTGATCTGAAAGGGAGCAACATAACAGCCTCAGCAAATTAACCCTTTGGGACCTGGTGGTGGCAATTGCCACCATCAACTTCAAAGGGCAGTGCTACTGGCGCAACAGCAGATTTCTACTACTTGTTGCTATGGTTAGCTTCAGACAACCTTTGCCTTCCTAATAGTAATTTGCAAGCCTCATTTCATCCATGATAGTACTAGCAATGTAGGAATCTCTGTGCGCAACTGAGTGTCAAAAAATCGATAACGGTTGCCGCAGCATCTGCTGAAAAAATATCAGTTATCTCCCCTGATAGTTGAAATGAATTTATACTATTAACTGAAGTATGGAGTATGATGTCACGCGAGCACATCTGCTATGAGTACGCGATTTCATCTTTGTTGTAAAAAATCAGAAAATTGAATGAAGGTTGGCAGAAAAAATTGAAAATAAAAATGTCTTGTTGTCGAAAAAGCTCCAAACTTCGCTGTATTGTTATTCAAACGCTACCCTATCATAAGCAGTAGGTGAGCAGTTCTTTATCTTACTGGGAAAAAGTCAGGTCCTAAAGGGTTAAGGTACTGTCGACGTTGATGATCGCCTCTTTATGTAGAATCATATTAAAAGCTGAAAATGCGGCTTATTGAAGGCGTTGTGCAAATTGCCCATAGCCGACGCAGTATTATACAGACGTACTTACTATATGTATGAATATAGCTGAATGTCCGTTTGTATGTTTGTGTATAGGCTACTGCATGACGAAGGCGCAATAACTTTGGGCGCGAACGCGGCTAATAGCCGCAGAGCGCATGAGGCGTAAAATTTGTGACAATGAGGATACGCACGCGCCGCGTTCGCTCCCGCTCAACTAGTACTGCTTCCACGCCTTCGCCAGGCATCGAGCAGAGTTCACGCAATTTGATCGTCGCGATTAATCACGATAAGACAACTGTAACAATATCATTGCATGCCGATCTTCATGCATTTTGGTTGTGATAATTTTCTCAACACGACTATTAGTGACTAACTATCACAACCGAAATACAAGAAGATCGGCATGCAGCGAACTCGTAACATTTGTCTTGTAGCGATTGAATCGCGAAGATCAAATCGCGTGAACTCTGCCCGCCTCATGCAGTAGCCCTTATGTACTTATGTCCCGAAAAGGAATTTCTCAGAACCGATCCCGGCCTAAACTTGGCACCATACACTTCGGGACGGGTGTTAGGCCACTTACGGCATTATTGATTGTTTCGCAAGGCTTCATCTGCGGGGCTGGGAGTTGGCCCAGGGGTGAGCGTGGTGATTACGAAAATCTTATCGAAGGGGCCGGGCGCAGCCGGTTTGCCAGCTAGTGAGTTATGAACAACTGCTACGGGATCACGTGAGGCATGTCCAATGCGACGCATCGCAATTTCCGCGTGTATCTGTCTTTCATTTTAGGTAGAAGCAGCACCATTTTCACTCTGAAGCAATTTTTGATCAAGTGCTCATCTATCTAGATAATTTCTCAGAGTTTAACAACATCGCCGACTGCTTCGCCGGACTTCCGAGCTACAGAATATGACTACTTAGTGGTGGTGACGGGCGGTTTTTGAACTTACCAAGCAATGCATTTTAATTGATCAAGATCGCTAACCTCCTCAAGCTTTCCGTGGGTATCCGGCTTTATTGGACTTTTGGTCGTAGACAAAGCATACCGTACTGTTTTCTTAAAGGCAGTGTCCAGGCTAAACCTAACCCCCTCCGATTAGTGTCGATCCTGAATGTAGGTCTCAGAAAAGGGGCATCTGCGTTGGTCCGGTCTTCTCACGTTGTCTCTGAATGGAGATAAGGGGCCTGGAAGTTCCTGGCTGGGCGGAGTCTGATATCAGACTCCGCCCAGCCAGGAACTTCCAGTGCCTCCCGACACGTATTAACGTGGTAGTGAGCTGAAGCTGTACACTGCTGCAACTGCACCCATGAAGTTGCAGCTCCTCCCCGCTGGCATGCCGACGGGGACGAGCGATCTGAAACTCGTCCGCGCCCTCAAGAGAGGGTCCCCAAGAATCGGGTTTTTGTGAATTCTGGAAAGTTTGAAGTCCGGAACTGTAATCAGGGCCACGGAAAGGCCTCAGAATGACGAAAACATGGGAGGCCAAATTCTGGGTGGACGCTGCCTTAAAAGCCAGTGACCGGTAGAATAAGAGCCGTAGTAAGACGTAACAACGTCGCAGAGTAGAAGCCCTTTATAATGGAACCTGTAGGCTAGGTCCGATCTCTCACTGCCCTTTCTGGGTCCCGAAAATCCAACGCGAAAGGCAGCGCTTCCATCTCCCCTTACAACTCCCATCTCTGACACCGCCCTCCTTGCGATATCCCTTTAATCGTCAAAGCGCGCGTGCCGCAATGGCATGGTATAGGCATAAGGATCCCGCAACGACTCTGGGTCTCCGCCAAGGCGAGCTTTGCGTCTACTCGTTCATGTTTGAAATTGATGGCTTTGGAAAATGCTTGAGCCAACTTTGTTCTTTCTAAAGTGGTTGTTCGAAATTAGCGCAGCGGATTACCCCTGGTAAGCGAGAAACAGATGCGTCTGTCGTGGTTTGCCGAGCCACTGCCTCCAAAATCAGCGTCCGGGCGTTGATTTTAAGATTTTCTACTTGCCTGGGCCGTACACTATTTATATCCGAAAATCCACCAGGAGAGCACGAAAACGGTGAAAAAGAGCTTTAACGCAGGAAGGAAATCAGCAGGTAAGGGCCTTCCACTCTGTGGAGTACTCTCCCAATTTCAGGTGCAATCTCCTCTGTTCGGAATCCAAGTCACGCATCGCAGTTGATGGCAATGTTAGGGCGCTAGAGAAAGCTATAATTTCGCTCCTGAAGAGCTGGGAAGTACTTCACAGTACTGGACCCCCCCCCCCTCACCTCCTGCGTTAAAGGCATTTTTCGCCGTTTCCGCGCTCTCCAGTGTGGATTTTTGGATTCAGCATAGCGAATAAGCTTAGATAGCTAACCACAGAATCTCAAATTCAACATTTTGTAGGAACATCGCCTATAAAATCGTGCCAATACGACAACATTAAGGACGTAGGAATCTTAGGATACGCGTTTTATAGCTTTACATTGAAGGCCATTCGGAAAAGCGCGGTTCGTCGAATTCAGAGGCACCGTCTAATTATGATGGCATAGTAGTATGGGCCCTCATACTAGGCAAACCCCCAAATTCCGCCGCAAAAGATTGCTTCCGGAGCGAGAAATCCGCTCCGGAAGGAGCATATCTGGACCTGGTTGCTCCACCCAACTGGTCGCCCCCTCTCTTTGAAAGGCTTTCCCTCGCCCGCGCTTGTTCAGCGGGTTCTCCAAAACGGGGATTCGCGGATTCTCAACTCCAAATTCGAAATCAAGGCCTTCAGAAGCCTGAAAGCGACAAAACATGGAGGTCGAGAATTTGGGAGGACTGTGCCTTTAAGGTCAAGTGATTCGATATCAAATAAGTTATATGAACTTCATGCAGTGCACAGCTGTGGTTTCTCAGACACATTCCAGGTAAGAAATCAGGCACATAAGTTTGCCTTCAAGTTACGGATTCTTATATGCATTGATTGCTATATGGAATAGCATATCTATTTATATAAAAAGTTCTGGATATTGTCTATACGGTAAGTATTGCGTTTATAGTGATGCTTATTTGTTAAGTTTGAGCTGAGCCACGCATAATACAATTCTAGCTGATCATAACTTAGAAGAGATGTCACTTAACTTAGTATCGTGTTTTAAGATGAGACACATATATTCGGAATCAGATTCGAACGCTGATTCCAAATATGCTATTCTTAGCACGCCATTCTGAAGTGAGTTATCGATTTCCTTCCGTGCAAAATTTGCATATTTGATCTACTGGCATTACGGTGTCATCACATAAGTGCTAATCGACTGCATACACTCTGCCTCAATCCTAACCAGGCCAAAATTGGCATGGCGGGAGTTCGCGTCGCTAGGGTTTCGCGGTCACGCCCACGGTCTGCTTCTCTGCTCTCTCTTCAATCCTTTGGCTCTCTCCGTCAGCGCGCATATGCAGCGCAGACCGCTATCGCTACGAGCGCGAAAATTTACGTCGTCGCTTTGGCCTGATCCCAATTGAAGAGACTGTAAAGTCTCTTGCCAATTAGAAAAGACTCAATCAAATATGAGTTTAGTATCCCGGCGCCGTTCTTAGGCAGATCCATCTACAGCAGCTCTATCATGTGGAAAAGTATGGCAATTTCGCACAGAAAAAAGCTCATAACTTCCTTCAGAATAATGCGCCGCAGCTAAGAACAGCATATTTGGAGTCAGCGTTCGAAGCTGATTCCGCATATATGTGTCTCATCTTGAAACGCGATACTAAGTTAAGTGACATCCTTTGTTAGTTCACAGTCTAGTTTGCAGTAATGGTACAGCTCTCTGCATCACATTCTAACCGCGGGCTTATTTCATTTTTCGAGCTTATTTTTCCATTGTAGAAAGTCGTGCGAAATGCTTGAAGGCGGCGTTTGTTCACAACTTCTAAGCATTTTCGTTGAGCTGAATCCGAAAATTTACGCTGCGCGGAAAAAATCTTTTTTTTCGCATTTTAGAAGGGAAACAGCTTGGACAAGAATGCGAGGTGGCCTGGCGGTGGCTGCAGACCAGACAAGTGGTTCGACGCTTGCCAAATGAGCTTGGCGCGCCTATTTAGAGCAGTTTTATTAATGGGCAGAACATCGTTTTCAGCTGAGTCTCTCACTTAGCAGCATTTTTAGGAGAGCTCAATTCACTGGCGATGCTCAAACTTCAGGCTTTGGAAACATGCCTGTTTTGGAAAATGTAAATCATATGAACAACTGCCGTCTCTTTTGCACCTCCTTGTTTCCAGCATGTTATCGTCGGCGAAAACAAGCTCAGCATTGCTTGACTTGGATGGTTCCTGCTGAAATATTTGCGGATATATGTAAAAAGCCCAGGACAGAGTGTTTTATACCCAGTCTTCAACGTTGTAAACGATCAATTTTTGATCTTTGTCCTTACTCAGCTCATCAAGGTTAACGTTGTAGACCCAATTTAAGGGATGCTTGATCTGAACGAATCCACTTTGATTGGAAAGTATCTAAATTTATTGAGATGTTTTACCCAGAGATGATTCTCTTTCTTCGGCGTTGAATAGGATGCGATTGAATCTATTTTGAATGCTTTAGTCCAATTAGTTTCTAGTGTCTTATAGTTTACTGTTCTGCTGAAAATTCAGCGATCGGTTTATCTTAAAGGCAGCGTCCAGGCAGATCTGGACCTATGGGGATTTTACGTGTAAAGTACTTTTGGGGCCCTAACTAAGGCACTGTCCAAGCGGCGGCGCAGGTAGTGCGCTAACGGCTGAGATATTCCCCTCAAAACTGGACCCCGCGATCGTATTCGCATGGATTCATGGCAGTTTCGCGCCAGAACCAACGCTTTGCGCCATGAATCCATGCGGAATACGATCGCCGGGTCCAGTTTCGAAGGGAATATCTCAGCCGTTAGAGCACTACCTGAGCTGCCGGTTGGGCAGCGGCTTAGTCAGAGCCCCAAAATTACTATCCACGTGCGATCCCCATGTGTCCAGACTTGCCTGGACGCTGCCTTTAAGAGAGATGTATGCTTGTTTTTACACAGTTCTGCCAAGTAATTGTAGCATTATTTGTGTCACATCACTACCATCGAAACTAAAGCAGGAAATCTGAAATTTGCAATTTAATTTGAGTATTTCGCTTTTCCTCATGTTATTACAAAGAAATTAGAAACGCGATGACATGTGGCTAAATTCTGGTGGCCTATTTTGTACCAAGCATATTTCGGTATTCGACGCGGGTAACGTAGGTTCAAAGTAACAATACCACTTTTGTTTTCCTGTTTATCCAGTAGTGCAGTGGCAGGTACTCTGAAAATATATGTTGGAAACATACTTTTTTCGCTGCAAGTTAAAAAATGGACGGTCGAGCTCACATGTTGAAAATGTAGCTGTTGCCTTTTTTTGTGACAATCGCTATATCTGCACCCCATCGAAATGCTATTGGCTTAATCTTGCATTTATCCTTTCCCTGTAATAAGTATGGCCATTCGTATAGCACTAATTACTTTAAAGTTACCGTGTGACGTTCTAATAGCAGAATTGTGTGAGAGAGGCCGCTTTGCGATGAACATGCGCAGTAATGAGCTCAGGTTGCTGCGTTTGGAGCAAGCAAAGTGCGGCTCATACATGTAGAAATAGAGTATTCTACTACTGTTTCGCGTCTTAATAAATCTGTCTTAATAAATGTCAACCACTTTTCCAGAAGAGGGCTTATTCAGTTTTCTGAACACAGGAAAGCCGAAAGAGCTCTGTTATCGTTGCTTTTAGATATACTCGTTCTTTCATCCGTTTGAAGTGGAACATACAAAAATAGGCGTACGTTTCGGCTAGCAGACCTAATATGCGCAGCTTCCGTTCTCGTTTTTCAGGGCCAAGCAACATCTCGGAGTTGCAACATGCGCCAAAAATTACGCACAGAGCGCGCACGGCGTACGATGCTTATGTTTGAATAGGTTGCTGTAAAGGTTTAAATGGCAAGCTGATACATAATTTCTAATGAATAGCTTGGTTACTGCGTCGGTATGAAAGCGGGTGGCGCGCCCGACTGCGTGGCATACACTGCGTCTTTAGCGTGTGCCGCGAAGTCTGACCAGCTCTTAATTTACGAATTAATGGTGTGTACAATGTGTTGCCGGTTCTTTATACACTCACCTTAGCATTTTACAGTCGCGTAAAACGGCATATACTCCAATTTTCCTAGCTTACAGTGCGTCACCTCTGCTTCGCAGAGGCTCGCACTGGTTCCACCATCTGACCTTCCTCCTATTACTCAATGATGACTATGAAACTCACCGCGGTATACTGGCCATCACGAATGAATGTAAACAACTACTCATTCCTAAAGCTATTCTACTCAGACAATTGCATCGGGAAGTTCGCGGGTGCTTGCTCGGCCACCAATCACCCATGCCGGAGCTGCCCGGTATAAACCGATATTGGACCCGATAAGTGGCCGCGGCGCATCCTGTAAGCGCCCGATAGTTGACCCGATTAGCATGCTTGTAAGGCGTAGAAAGAGTGAAAAATTCGGGTTGTCTTTCATCACAACTATTGAGTACAAATTGAGCAACTTGTTAGCTCATCTGTCGACATCATCTACCGTCGTCGATAATACTCAACCGATTTGCTGATGTTTCGTGAGCGTATAAACTCAACTGTCACACCACCCACGAGAAGCGATTACCACCCCCACAAACACTTAGGATAGCCCCATCGCTGTGGCGTATCTCACGCGGGTTGCGCCTAAGCTACAGCGTGTAAAAAGTGCGGCCTTTGATAAGGCCCGCGGCACGCCGAGTGAGGTGATTGGGCCGCGACTCTCCCGATAAGCTCTTTCCGATCTTAAGTTTGGCCGCGGCGTTCCCGGTAAAATATACATGGGCCGCGGCGTGCGCGGCTGAAATTTTAAGGGCCGCGGCGCGCCATGTAGTACGCTTTGAGGCCGCAAACTTTCCGACGCAATTGTCTGAGTATGTACTCAGACACTGGGAGCGGACGAGCCGCGGCCCTTCGTTCATGTCATTATCATTGCACCGGCCGAGCCGCGCGAGAGAATGGTCTCGCCGGCTCAGCAGCGGCCCTTAATAATGGGGCGGAGCATTGCAGCGGCTGAGTCGCGGACCAAAATCCGTGTAAGAATCTCGCCCGAGCCGCGGCCCATGTCAAATGGAGGCCGCGGCTCGGCCGCTCCTGATGTTTGAGTGAAAAGGATACTTGCGTGATGTACGATGCATGGTCAGGCTGCCCTCAACAGCCCTGGATGTTCTCCGAGGTAGGAACGAGATCATATGGTGTCTTATGAACAACCTTAAATAGCGTCTTGGTGTTATCCAGTCTTGAAATCGGACTGGTTTCCGAAGCTGATCTATCGGTGGCTTTGATTTTTTCATTGCTTGTATTCTCTTATGTGCGCCAAGGCAGGGTCCGCCACAGATAGTTTGGGGTCAAACTGGACTTCGTTTTTGAAGTTAGAAGCAACGAAGATATCGTTTCTATAAGGTCCTGGGGGAAGCGCTCATAAAAAAAACGGCGGACATGCCAGGTTTTACGAGTTGAACGTGTTCTTTCACAAGCGCGCGAATTTCAAATGCAAGACTCAAACAAACAAATGGCTTGTTTACAGCGCAGAAACAATCACATGGCTCCGAATTTGGGCTATGTGTAAACAATATTACTCCAAACTATGATATGTAAAAAGTTTCAAAAACCTATGTGTCCTAATGTCCTAATATCCGTTCCCGAATTTGTTCGTTTCTAGACCAACACCAAACCAACTGGGTTGGTTCGGAGCATAAATATCGGAGAATTCACATAAGTTTTGGCCCTTTTTGATTTGGACGATTAGAACGTCAAAAATCTATCATATAGTGAAGAGAGCGAATCAAACCATTACCTCTCCTCCGTTTTTGATCCAAAAGTAGTGTAAAACTATGCGTTGACAGATATTGCGCTCCAATCACATGCGGTGTCCTTTGAACTATGTGGCGAAAAATGCATCGACGGATTGTTGAGGCCACAAATTTGGTTGGCCTAGGAGGTTTTCGACATTCTGAGCACTAAAGTGGTACCATACTTAATGACAGAGCACTCAATCAACTCGAAATGTTTTCTTTTTGCTTTTTTGTTACATTAGGTACCTCAAAATGCGCTTTTTTTGCTTTTTATTGTTATTTTGACATGAATAAGGGTTTCCCTATTGATTTTTACGTCAAGAGGGACTTCGTAAATTTTCGCCAAGTCATGAAGGACTTCGTTTCCAAAAATGCTCCAAACAAACTAGTGCGCCTCGGCCTCGGCCTAATTGGGCCCTGCGCCAAGGCCCAATTAGGCCGAGCTAGAGTGAACTACGGAAGACCCGACAACTAACGCAGGTGGGCCTCGGCTGGGCCGAGGCCCAATCTCCGGCCGGGCCGCTGGAGCTGCAAAAATTCTGCCGGAAAGGGGCCGCGGCGAATTTGAATTGGTTAATAAATTACAATGGCTTAATACCCTAAAATTCGTACGATAAGTCCGGACTTATTTGCAGTTTTGACACGAAAAATCGATGAAAAATCGCCCTCTGCGCCGCCAAAACTCTTGCAGATAAGTCCTCCTAAATCCTCTATCAGATAAGTCCGCAGCAGACAAGTTCGCCTATCCTGAGCATGAGAAAGCGGACTTATCTACAGGACTCTTGGCGGTGCGAGGGCGACTTTCGTTGTCAAGAAAGCGGACTTATCTGATGCGTACTTATGCGGACTTATCTATAGGTGGACTTATCTGATAGGCGGACTTATTGTACGGATTTTAGGGTAGTTTCTGTAACGGCAACGACTACCGAGAGTTGAATCTCTGAGCAAAAATGTCTCTGAATTCTTTCGTACAATCTTCACAAAATGACCTTCTATGCAATCATCCTTTTTTGGCGCCGTTTCGCGAGAGAACGCGGTTTTTGGTTATTTTTTCAAGATAAAGTCATTGCTTGAAGACAGGCCAAAGAACTCCGTAATTTTGCAAAAAGTCTTGGTTCAGACCCAATTATTCTAGCCGAAAAGCCATGGATTCATTTGGCGCACACTTTTCAAAGGTTCCGCTCATCGAATCGGCTTCACAATCATCTCTCTATAATAAAGCGCTAGAGATGACTCATGCATGTAAGATCCCCCCCCCTCCTTCGTGGTGTCAACACCGTCCGTCGTTATGTGCCGGTGCAGGTGTACCCCATGGGACAGTGATTTTTGTCTTAGACACCTACGGGGCTGGGAGTTGGCACAGGGGGGTAATCGAGCATGGGGATTCCGAATACAATATTAGTCATCAGGATTATCGTTTACTTTTACCGATTTTATCGATTTTTTTGCAAAGTTTGAGCTACGGGGATGGGAGTTTGCACAGGGGTAATCGAGCATGCTGATCACGAGTATTACCTATTACTTTTATCGATTTTATAGATTTTTTGCAAAGTTTGAGCTACAGGGCTGGGAGTTGGCACAAAGGGGTAAGTGGGCATGCTGATTTCGAAAACAACACAGGGAACGAAATGAAGTGCGGAAGTGGGCACAGGGAAAGGCTTTACAGGGATAGGGATGGGAACTTTATTACAGTGTTTTAACAGTTCCGAGCGGAGCCGGGTAAGCAAGTAATCTCTATATAATAAAACGCAAGAGATCCCCCGTCGTTATGTATCGCAAATGAGGAGAGCGCGAGCCCAGATAGCTCCCGCTAGCAAGGTTTTGGGCTATCTAAATATAAAAATCATATTGAATGAGGCATAAAAATCATAGTGAGCTGATGGAAAGCAAGATGGAGATCCTTAATGCTAGAAGTACGAAAAATATGGAAACGTTAAAATGCCACAAAATTGAGATGTTAGGGAAGCGTACGAGGGGGGGGGGGTAGGAAAAACTTAATGGGGGATTTGCACTTTGACATCAGCAAAGGCAAAGACATGCACACGTCTCCAAGCAAATAAACAAGTTTGAGCGGTCCTGACAGAATGAGTTCAATAGTAGGATGGATGATTGGGATGTAGTCGAAAGGTAGACGAAAATTAAGTATGGCCCAAATATTCTAATATTGCTAAATTTAGGGACATTCAGACATTTTTAGCGAAGAAGAGTGTCAGATTTTTCCCTGATAGAAGCTCAGAAGGGCCGAGGACGTAAACGTTAATCACTTTTGCTGGATATGCAAGATTTTTGAAAAAAATTTAATCTGAAAACCTCAAAGGTATGGTTAGGAGCTTTCTATTTTCTCCACGAAGTTTACCAGATGACCTTCAAAAGAACAGTATGCTATTGAAACATGCTAATTGCACAATCTCGTGCTCAGCATGGCTAATTTGGACCCAGCAAGATAACCTCTTTCCTTGCAAATAGCTGCAGATCTTCAATATGAAAATCTTTGAGGAGCTAGGAAAGCTGTGAAACCTACAGAAATTTCACTCACTTCCCGCTTTCACTATTATCAAATGTTTGCACACACCCAATT